GGAATGAACTGCCGGGGTTGCTTATTAACCCATTCCTTCATCTTCCTGGTTTGGGGCTCCTTAGGGGCCGTAGAGACTTTGCCTCTCCCTAGCCTTGAGAGCAGGAGGCTTGAGGTGACCTAATTTCCATTGCCTGTTCTGACTCTGGACTTGGAAGGGAAGGGATAATGGATCTTGATGAAAGATCAGAATGGGACAGTAGACAGAATTATATGGATGGTGCAGGCAAAGATGATAAGAACAATTTTATGCCAATAAATTTTAAAATTTTAGTATAATGGTCAAATTCTTGGAAAACTGCATCTTTTGAACACTACATAAAAAGAAAAAGGAAAGAAAATTGACCTATAACTAGTAAATGAATTAGTAATAAAAAAAAATCCAGCCTACCAAACATCCAAAGAGAAAGTAATCACAATATCATACAAAGTAGTCTAGAGTATAGAAAAAGGGGGACTATCCCCCAATTCATTTATTAGGGTCACATAACCTAGATATAAAAATCTGACTATACAGAAAACAGGAAAGAAAATTATAATAGCTAATATAACTTATTCACAACTGAATCAACACTGAATCAAGAAAATTCTACCAATGAAATAGAAGAAAAACACTCCCAACAAGGAAAAGGTCTGGACTGAATGGCTTCATGGGTAAATTTTACCAAACACTTAAAGAAGAATTAACAGCTATCCTTCTCAAACTATTTTTTTTTAAAAGGAATGCTCCAAAGATCATTTTATGGGGTCATCATTACCCTGATTTCAAAACCAGACAGACATTACAAAAAAAAAAAAAATTGTAGGCCAATATCCCAGATGAACATAGATGCAAAAATCCTCAACAAAATATTAGTATACTGAATTTAGTAATACATTTTTCTTTCTTTTTTTAATCCTCACCCGGGGATATTTTTCCATTGATTTTTTAGAGAGAGAGAGAAATATCAATGTGAGAGAAACAGGATTGGTTGCCGCCTGCATGAGCCCTGACCAAGGCCGGGGCCATGGAGGAGCCTGCAACTGAAGTACCTGCCCTTGATCAGAATTAAAACTGGGACCCTTAGGTCCACAGGCCTACCCTCTATCCACTGAGCCAAACTGGCTAGGGCTCAGCAATACATTTTTTTAAAAATTATACACCAGGATCAAGAGAGATTTATTTCTGGAATGCAAGGTTAGTTCAATATTAGTGATATGCCATATAAACAAAGTGAAGGATAAAAATCATAAATAATATCAATAGGTGCAGAAAAAACATTTGACAAAATTCAGCATCTATTTATGATTTAAAAATCTCAGCAAAGTAGAAATAGAGGGACCATACCTTAACATAATAAAGGCCTTATATGACAAAATGCTAACATCTTACTCCTTCAGAAAAGCTAAAAGTGTTTTCCTTCAGATCAGGAACACGATAAGGATGGCCACTTTTATCACTTTTATTCAGGAAGGGGGTCCCTCAGCCCAGCCTGTGCCCTCTCACAGTCTGGGATCCCTCGGGGGATGTCCACCTGCTGGCTTAGGCCTGCTCCCTGGGGGATCGGGCCTAAGCTGGCAGTCAGAAATCCCTCTGGCAGCCCGGGAGCCCTCGAGGGATGTCCACTTGCCAACGGGGAGCAGGCCTAAGCTGCAGTCGGACATCCTTAGCACTGCTGAGGAGGTGGGAGAGGCTCCCGCCACCACTGCTGTGCTGGCAGCTATCAGCCTGGCTTGTGGCTGAGCAGAGCTCCCACTGTGGGAGCGCACTGACCACCAGGGGGCAGCTCCTGCATTGAGCAACTGCTCCCTGATGGTCAGTGTGTGTCATAGTGACCAGTTATTCCCAGTCGTTCTGCTGTTAGGGTCAATTTGCATATTAACCTTTCATTATAAAGGATAGAGGGCTGGTGCACAGGTGGGGGCTGGCTGATTTGCCCTGAAGGGTGTCCCGGATCAGGGTGGGGGTCCTGCTGGGTACCTGGCCAGCCTGGGTGAGGGGCTGAGGGCCGTTTTCGCCACACCCCCTTCAGGGTGGGGGTCCCCACTGGGGTGCCTGGCCAGGCTGGGTGAGAGGCTGATGGCTGTTTGCAGGCTGGTCAAGCCCTCCAGTAGGGACCCTCACCCCATGGGGGTGTGGCCAGCCTGGGTGAGGGGCTGAGGGCTGTTTTCAGGCTGCCCACAGCCACTTCAGGGTGGGGGAGTCCCGCTGGGGTGCCTGGCCAGCCTGGATGAGGGGCTGATGGCTGTTTTCAGGCTGGCCACACCGCCAGGCGACCCAAACTCCCAGCCTCTCCTTTTTTCTTTTTTTTCCTCTGGGATTTATTTATCTTTTTTTAAAATTAAATCTTTATTGTTCAGATTATTACAGTTGTTC